AGCGGGGGGGGGGGGCCCCAGCCCCCCTGGCCCATCCGTTACGGCTCCTGGTGCCGGAGCCTCTGGGATTGCAATGGGGCAGCGCCAAAAAATTAATAGACATTTTTGAAGCAAGTTTGGCCCTTTCTGCGCCGAGGGGCTTACGCCGAGCACGGCTGCAGCTCCCTGCTCAGCCAGGGCTGGACAGACAGACGGAGCAGCCTGACCTACGGGTCAGCCCAGGCCCTGAAATGACCTTAGGATCCCCCTAACAGGACAAAAACCCTCCCAGCCCTGAGCTGGAACATTAACATTTGCTCACGGCAAATCTCGGGCTGGCGTAATCCCCACCCCCACCCCCCGGCCATCTGGACTGAATTCAACGCTTCCACCCCCAGCGAGTTGAACCCTCCAGCTGCTTCTCGCCCTCCTGCCTCCGTGTCCCTGCTTTTAACCGCCGGCCGGTGCCGGGGGCTGTGGTGGCTCAGCAGCCCCTGTGAAGGGGGGACCCGTTGCTCCCAGGAGAGCCCCTGCCTGCCCCTGCCCAGGGGACCCTTCTCCTGCTGCTCCCAGCACCGTCCTGCCTGCACCAGGACCCAGCCCCATCCCAAACCCTTCAGCATCCCCATGGGCAGCGCTGCTGGGGCATCCCCAGGGTTGCGAGCACGGACAGGAGATGAAAAGCGCTTTATTTCTCCACTGCCATTATTTATCAGCAAGCCACGAGCCACCTACAAATATCTGCAGGGTGGGTGTCAGGAGGATGGGGCCAAGCTCTTTTCAGTGGTGCCCAGTGACAGGACAAGGGGCAATGGGCACAAACTGAAGCAGAGGAAGTTCCGTCTGAACATGAGGAAGAACTTCTTCCCTCTGAGGGTGACGGAGCACTGGAACAGGCTGCCCAGCTCCCTTCCCGGGAGATTTTCAGGACCCGCCTGGACGCGGAGCTGTGCAGCCTGCTCTGGGTGACCCTGCTTGGGCAGGGGGTTGGGCTGGGTGACCCACAGAGGTCCCTTCCAACCCCTACTATTCTGTGATTCTGTGATTCTGTGATTCTGTCTGCTCCCAGCCCAGCAGCGTAGCAGCACGAGAGGGCAGGAGGAGGAATCATGGCTGATTTGGGGGGGGCAGCTCCCTGTGCCTCCCTCCCACCGTTGGGGACGGCGCTGTGGGATCTGCTTGGTGCTCGCCCATCTGCACACAGGACTGGTTAAGCCAAAGCTGAGCGGAGCCACCAGGACGTGTTTACTGCTGCTAATCCCCACGCCAAGAGCCCAGCTCAAACCCAGGGGCGTTGCTTCACTCCAGCTCCAGACACAGCCACCAGCACCCCCCACCCCGCTACCTGTGGCTGTGTCACCGGTGCCGGAGGCCAGCTCGGCTGCGGAGATGGTGACACTTAGGATGGCGGACAAGTCCCTGGGGAGGACACCACCAGGACAGGTCATCCCGGGAGTCCAGCACAGGCGGTCACGCCCAGGCAGAGCTGCAGGTCCCATCTCCACAGGGGCAGACGCAGGGACGCCGTCTGTCCGGCCACTGAAGAGGCAGTCAGTTGGGTTGTGCTGGCTGAGAGCAGGGCTGTGGGGATCTGCTGGCAGCGGGGAGCCCAGGGGGGCTGGGACGCACTGGGAAGCTGCAGCCGAGCTAAGAAGGGACCCTCGGTGCTGGCACAGAGCTGCAGCCGACCCCGCGCACAGCCCTCGGGCGCACGTTTGCACGGGTATGGTACCCCCCATCCCCACCCCCACTCTTGCTCGCCCTTACAGACTCCGTCCCTTTTCTCTCCTTCCCCTTGCACAGCCTCAGCACCCAGCTCTGCACCCCGGGTGGGGGGCACAGCCTGCGTGCCCCCTCCCTAAGGCCATCGCACCCCAGACACGCTGCCCAGCCCCTCAGCGTCATGGCCACCTACCTCGGGGCTCTGGTCCCTGGGGAGGGTCCCCGCGGGGGTCTCGCCAGCAGCATCCATCCCGGGAGGAGGCTCAGCACGGGGCAGGGGGGCGGGCGCAGGCCTGGTTTCGCACGCCCGCCACC